AGTTATGGCCATTTTAAAATATGCTATTTTTCCTCTTTAAATATCTCAACACAAAAAGAGGTTAAAAACCCCGAAATGTTGATATTTAAGGAGTTATGGCCATTTTAAAATATGCTATTTTTCCTCTTTAAATATCTCAACACAAAAATAGGTTAAAAACCCCGAAATGTTGATATTTAAGGAGTTATGGCCATTTTAAAATATGCTATTTTTCCTCTTTAAATATCTCAACACAAAAAGAGGTTAAAAACCCCGAAATGTTGATATTTAAGGAGTTATGGCCATTTTAAAATATGCTATTTTTCCTCTTTAAATATCTCAACACAAAAATAGGTTAAAAACCCCGAAATGTTGATATTTAAGGAGTTATGGCCATTTTAAAATATGCTATTTTTCCTCTTTAAATATCTCAACACAAAAAGAGGTTAAAAACCCCGAAATGTTGATATTTAAGGAGTTATGGCCATTTTAAAATATGCTATTTTTCCTCTTTAAATATCTCAACACAAATATGGGCTAAAAACCCCGAAATGTTGATATTTAAGGAGTTATGGCCATTTTAAAATATGCTATTTTTCCTCTTTAAATATCTCAACACAAAAATAGGTTAAAAACCCCGAAATGTTGATATTTAAGGAGTTATGGCCATTTTAAAATATGCTATTTTTCCTCTTTAAATATCTCAACACAAAAAGAGGTTAAAAACCCCGAAATGTTGATATTTAAGGAGTTATGGCCATTTTAAAATATGCTATTTTTCCTCTTTAAATATCTCAACACAAAAATAGGTTAAAAACCCCGAAATGTTGATATTTAAGGAGTTATGGCCATTTTAAAATATGCTATTTTTCCTCTTTAAATATCTCAACACAAAAAGAGGTTAAAAACCCCGAAATGTTGATATTTAAGGAGTTATGGCCATTTTAAAATATGCTATTTTTCCTCTTTAAATATCTCAACACAAAAAGAGGTTAAAAACCCCGAAATGTTGATATTTAAGGAGTTATGGCCATTTTAAAATATGCTATTTTTCCTCTTTAAATATCTCAACACAAAAATAGGTTAAAAACCCCGAAATGTTGATATTTAAGGAGTTATGGCCATTTTAAAATATGCTATTTTTCCTCTTTAAATATCTCAACACAAAAATAGGTTAAAAACCCCGAAATGTTGATATTTAAGGAGTTATGGCCATTTTAAAATATGCTATTTTTCCTCTTTAAATATCTCAACACAAAAAGAGGTTAAAAACCCCGAAATGTTGATATTTAAGGAGTTATGGCCATTTTAAAATATGCTATTTTTCCTCTTTAAATATCTCAACACAAAAATAGGTTAAAAACCCCGAAATGTTGATATTTAAGGAGTTATGGCCATTTTAAAATATGCTATTTTTCCTCTTTAAATATCTCAACACAAATATGGGCTAAAAACCCCGAAATGTTGATATTTAAGGAGTTATGGCCATTTTAAAATATGCTATTTTTCCTCTTTAAATATCTCAACACAAAAATAGGTTAAAAACCCCGAAATGTTGATATTTAAGGAGTTATGGCCATTTTAAAATATGCTATTTTTCCTCTTTAAATATCTCAACACAAAAATAGGTTAAAAACCCCGAAATGTTGATATTTAAGGAGTTATGGCCATTTTAAAATATGCTATTTTTCCTCTTTGAATATCTCAACACAAAATAGGTTAAAAACCCCGAAATGTTGATATTTAAGGAGTTATGGCCATTTTAAAATATGCTATTTTTCCTCTTTAAATATCTCAACACAAAAAGAGGTTAAAAACCCCGAAATGTTGATATTTAAGGAGTTATGGCCATTTTAAAATATGCTATTTTTCCTCTTTAAATATCTCAACACAAAAATAGGTTAAAAACCCCGAAATGTTGATATTTAAGGAGTTATGGCCATTTTAAAATATGCTATTTTTCCTCTTTAAATATCTCAACACAAAAAGAGGTTAAAAACCCCGAAATGTTGATATTTAAGGAGTTATGGCCATTTTAAAATATGCTATTTTTCCTCTTTAAATATCTCAACACAAAAATAGGTTAAAAACCCCGAAATGTTGATATTTAAGGAGTTATGGCCATTTTAAAATATGCTATTTTTCCTCTTTAAATATCTCAACACAAAAAGAGGTTAAAAACCCCGAAATGTTGATATTTAAGGAGTTATGGCCATTTTAAAATATGCTATTTTTCCTCTTTAAATATCTCAACACAAAAATAGGTTAAAAACCCCGAAATGTTGATATTTAAGGAGTTATGGCCATTTTAAAATATGCTATTTTTCCTCTTTAAATATCTCAACACAAAAAGAGGTTAAAAACCCCGAAATGTTGATATTTAAGGAGTTATGGCCATTTTAAAATATGCTATTTTTCCTCTTTAAATATCTCAACACAAAAATAGGTTAAAAACCCCGAAATGTTGATATTTAAGGATTTATGGCCATTTTAAAATGTGCTATTTTTCCTCTTTAAATATCTCAACACAAAAATAGGTTAAAAACCCCGAAATGTTGATATTTAAGGAGTTATGGCCATTTTAAAATGTGCTATTTTTCCTCTTTAAATATCTCAACACAAAAAGAGGTTAAAAACCCCGAAATGTTGATATTTAAGGAGTTATGGCCATTTTAAAATATGCTATTTTTCCTCTTTAAATATCTCAACACAAAAAGAGGTTAAAAACCCCGAAATGTTGATATTTAAGGAGTTATGGCCATTTTAAAATGTGCTATTTTTCCTCTTTAAATATCTCAACACAAAAATAGGTTAAAAACCCCGAAATGTTGATATTTAAGGAGTTATGGCCATTTTAAAATGTGCTATTTTTCCTCTTTAAATATCTCAACACAAAAATAGGTTAAAAACCCCGAAATGTTGATATTTAAGGAGTTATGGCCATTTTAAAATGTGCTATTTTTCCTCTTTAAATATCTCAACACAAATATTTGCTAAAAACCCCGAAATGTTGATATTTAAGGAGTTATGGCCATTTTAAAATATGCTATTTTTCCTCTTTAAATATCTCAACACAAAAATAGGTTAAAAACCCCGAAATGTTGATATTTAAGGAGTTATGGCCATTTTAAAATGTGCTATTTTTCCTCTTTAAATATCTCAACACAAAAATAGGTTAAAAACCCCGAAATGTTGATATTTAAGGAGTTATGGCCATTTTAAAATGTGCTATTTTTCCTCTTTAAATATCTCAACACAAAAGAGGTTAAAAACCCCGAAATGTTGATATTTAAGGAGTTATGGCCATTTTAAAATATGCTATTTTTCCTCTTTAAATATCTCAACACAAAAAGAGGTTAAAAACCCCGAAATGTTGATATTTAAGGAGTTATGGCCATTTTAAAATATGCTATTTTTCCTCTTTAAATATCTCAACACAAATATGGGCTAAAAACCCCGAAATGTTGATATTAAGGAGTTATGGCCATTTTAAAATATGCTATTTTTCCTCTTTAAATATCTCAACACAAAAATGGGTTAAAAATCCAGAAATGTTGATATTTAAGGAGTTATGGCCATTTTAAAATATGCTATTTTTCCTCTTTAAATATCTCAACACAAAAAGAGGTTAAAAACCCCGAAATGTTGATATTTAAGGAGTTATGGCCATTTTAAAATATGCTATTTTTCCTCTTTAAATATCTCAACACAAAAAGAGGTTAAAAACCCCGAAATGTTGATATTTAAGGAGTTATGGCCATTTTAAAATATGCTATTTTTCCTCTTTAAATATCTCAACACAAAAATAGGTTAAAAACCCCGAAATGTTGATATTTAAGGAGTTATGGCCATTTTAAAATGTGCTATTTTTCCTCTTTAAATATCTCAACACAAAAAGAGGTTAAAAACCCCGAAATGTTGATATTTAAGGAGTTATGGCCATTTTAAAATGTGCTATTTTTCCTCTTTAAATATCTCAACACAAAAATGGGTTAAAAATCCAGAAATGTTGATATTTAAGGAGTTATGGCCATTTTAAAATATGCTATTTTTCCTCTTTAAATATCTCAACACAAAAAGAGGTTAAAAACCCCGAAATGTTGATATTTAAGGAGTTATGGCCATTTTAAAATATGCTATTTTTCCTCTTTAAATATCTCAACACAAAAATAGGTTAAAAACCCCGAAATGTTGATATTTAAGGAGTTATGGCCATTTTAAAATATGCTATTTTTCCTCTTTAAATATCTCAACACAAAAATATTTTAAAAACCCCGAAATGTTGATATTTAAGGAGTTATGGCCATTTTAAAAAATGCTATTTTTCCTCTTTAAATATCTCAACACAAATATGGGCTAAAAACCCCGAAATGTTGATATTTAAGGAGTTATGGCCATTTTAAAATATGCTATTTTTCCTCTTTAAATATCTCAACACAAAAATAGGTTAAAAACCCCGAAATGTTGATATTTAAGGAGTTATGGCCATTTTAAAATATGCTATTTTTCCTCTTTAAATATCTCAACACAAAAATATTTTAAAAACCCCGAAATGTTGATATTTAAGGAGTTATGGCCATTTTAAAATATGCTATTTTTCCTCTTTAAATATCTCAACACAAAAATGGGTTAAAAATCCAGAAATGTTGATACTTAAGGAGTTATGGCCATTTTAAAATATGCTATTTTTCCTCTTTAAATATCTCAACACAAAAAACCCCGAAATGTTGATATTTAAGGAGTTATGGCCATTTTAAAATATGCTATTTTTCCTCTTTAAATATCTCAACACAAAAATATTTTAAAAACCCCGAAATGTTGATATTTAAGGAGTTATGGCCATTTTAAAATATGCTATTTTTCCTCTTTAAATATCTCAACCCAAAAATGGGTTAAAAACCCCGAAATGTTGCAGTCACCCTGATGAAATTTAGTTCACAGTTGTGTATTAAGGGCACAAATACAAACACACACACACACCATTTTTATTAAATCAAAATGTAAACAATTACTACCTTGCCCAACAATTGTTGTGAATTTTTTTAATTGTTTATTGTTTTGTAGGCTCCAGGTATTATGGGGATTACTAAATTGTGATGGCTGGGCGAAAGTGTTGGCGGAAAACGATCCGACCTCCTTTTCCAGCTACTGCCAATATAAAACGGCAGCAGAAATTTTATTAATTCATTGCAATTTTGTAAAGTCTGCAGTTTGACACAACAATTAAAAAGGCAGCGGAAAATATGTTTTCCAGATACTTTCTCATTGGTCTGGGACTCCTGGCATGTCTGGCAATGGTTGCAACGCAGGCAACTTATCTGGGGAATCGCAGACATCCCAGTGAGTATTTTCAAAAAATTAAAAAAAAAAAAAAAAATTAAAAAAAATTCCTTCTTAGCTCTGCCTGGCCATTGTTTTTACGAAGAATACAATTTGACGATTAAAGTTAATCAAACTTCATATCCTCGCAATGTCAACAATTGCTTCAAGGTTTTTTGCCGCGACGATTTTGTCCTGAGGCTAAATCAGTAAGTTGGCTAAATCTAAGGGTGGAAATACATAAAGCGCATATTTGGCTGGCTTAAGTCATCGGCTGGCTGGCTTCTTCGTAGATGAACAAAGTAGTTTTAGGTTGACTTCGTTCGATTTTGGCCCTAGGCTCCTTTGTTCATTTCCGAAAAAGCCAGCCAGCGTTAAGCGCTTTATGTATTCCCACCTTAAGGTAATTTTTGTTTTGGAATCTAATTCGAAAAAAATTTTTGCTGTTCCACATTTACAGCTGTCCTCGCCGGGCCAATCCTTGTCGCCGAACTGATTTATCCAAACCCTTTCCGCAGTGTTGTGTTTGTATTTAATTAGACAAAACTCTGTACTACAAATAAACAATGATCAGCTGTTTCAAGCCATTTGTCTGCCATAGTAGAAGAATACAGGTAGATGCAGCAGAGCTTGGGAATATTGATAAGTCGAAAAAAAAATTTAATGTTTTTTTTTTTTTTGGGAAGGCTTGGGAAAATTGAAAAGTAAAAAAAAAATTTTAAGGTTTCTTCAAAAATAAGTAGATTTCTATACATTTTCCTATACGACGCCAATCGGAGCATGATATGAAGTGCATTTGTATACCCTCCACCATAGTATGGAGGGGGTATTTTAAGTTTGTCATTCCGTTTGTAACACCTCGAAATATACATTTTAGACCCCACAATATATATATATACTCCTGATCAGCATAAAATTCTATGTCGATTAAGCGATGTCCGTCCGACGGTTCGTCTATGAAAATCACTCTAGCTACCGAACGAATTGAAGTAGATTGATAATATTTTACTCAAATGTATACTATGACTGCAGGACTTTTGGTATTGAAAATGGGATATGTAGGTCCACGTTTTGGTATAGCCACAATATAACTATACCTCCGGATACTCGGTATTTTGATTATTTTAGCGACATTATTCACCGGAATTCTCTCAAATTTGGTATTTGAAATTTGTAATGGATACTACACCCAAAAACAGAAAATTGTCTGTGCAGGTCGACGTGTTCCTATAGCTCCCATATAACGGTTCGCCCCGATTTTCGGTATTTTGATGATTTTTGCGAAAATATTCCCTGGAATTGTTTCGAATTCGGTATTTGAAGTTCGTAATGGATACTACAGCCTAAGAAAGAAAATTGTCTGGGCACGACCACGTCGTCGTATAGCCACCATATAACGATACCTCCGGATATTCGGTATTTTGATGATTTTAGCGACAATATTCACCGGAATTGTTTCAAATTTGGTATTTGAAGTTCGAAATGGATGCTACAGCCTAAGGCAAAAAATTGTCTGGGCACGTCCACGTCTTCGTATAGCCCCCATATAGCGGTACCTTCCGATATTCGGTATTTTGATGATTTTTGCGAAAATATTCATCGGAATGATTTCGAATTTGGTATTTGAAGGCCAAAATGGACACTACAGCCTATGACAGAAAATTGTCTGGGCAGGTTCACGTGTTCCTATAGCCTCCATATAACAGTACCTCCCGATATTCGGTATTTTGATGATTTTAGCGACATTATTCACCGGAATTCTTTTAAATTTGGTATTCGAAGTTCGTAATTTATACTGTAGCTTTCTGCATAAAATTGTCCCTGTATGTTCACGTCTTCGTATAGCCCCCATATAACGGTACCTACCGATATTCGGTATTTTCGTGATTTTAGCGACATTGTTCACCGGAATTCTCTCAAACTTGGTATTTGAAATTTGTAATGGATACTACACCCAAAAACAGAAAATTGTCTGGGCAGATCCACGTCGTCGTATAGCCCCCATAAAACGGTACCTTCGGATATTCGGTATTTCGATGATTTTAGCGACATTATTTACCGGAATTCTCTCAAATTTGGTATTTCAAATTTGTAATGGATACTACATCCTAAGACAGAAAATTGTCCGTGCAGGTTCACGTCTTCGTATAGCCCTCATATAATGGTTCCTCCGGATATTCGGTATTTTGATGATTTTAGCGACATTATTTTTTCCGGAATTGTTCCAAAATTAATATTCAAAGTTCGTAATAGATACTACAGCCTAAGACAGAAAATTGTCTGGTCAGGTCCACGCCGTCGTATAGCCCCCATATAATGGTACCTCCTGATATTCGATATTTTGATGATTTTAGCGACATTATTCATCGGAATGATTTCAATTTTGGTATTTGAAGGCCGAAATGGATGCTACAGCCTAAGACAGAAAATTATCTGGGCACGACCACGTCGTCGTATAGCCCCCATATAACGGTACCTCCTGATATTCGGTATTTTGATGATTTTAACGAGATTATTTACCGGAATTGTTTTAAATTTGTTATTTGAAAGTCAAAATGGATACTACAGCCTAAGACAGAAAATTGTCTGGGCACGTCACGTCTTCGTGTAGCCCCCACACAATGGTACCTCCCGATATTCGGTATTTTGATGATTTTAGCGACATTATTTACCGGAATTCTCTCAAATTTGGTATTTGAAGTTCGAAATGGTTGCTACAGCCTAAGGCAAAAAATTGTCTGGGCAGGTCCACGTCTTCGTTTAGACCCCATATAAGGGTACCTCCCAATATTCGGTATTTTGATGATTTTTGTGAAAATATTCACCGGAATTGTTTCAAATTTGGTATTTGCAGTTCGTAATGGACGCTACAGCCTAAGACAGAAAATTGCCTGTGCAGATTCACGTCGTCGTATAGCCCCCATATAACCTCCCGATATTCGGTATTTTGATGATTTTAGCGACATTATTCACCGGAACTGATTCAAATTTGGTAGTTGAAGTTCGAAATGGATGTTACAGCCTGAGACAGAAAATTGTCTGGGCAGGTTCACGTCTTCGTATAGCCACCATATAACGATACCTCCCGATTTCGGGATAATTGTGCCCCAAATAACCAATATCAGTTCTAATGCCCTTAATTTTGGTACATCCCATCGAATTCAGAAGTAGAAGCAAGTACATCAAATTTGAAGAAAATCTGTTCAGATATAGCTATAGCTCCAATATATAGGTTTCTTCCGATTTGGGGTTGTAAGTCCCTCACATGCGTAATATGCACTCCACAAGAATGATATTTGAAACCGTCATAGGCTGCCCGAATGTTGCTTTTGCGGTATTTTGTCCCATTCCCCGCGAAGCTCTTGCTTGAGGTGATCGACACTTTGGTATTTTTTCAGTGCGCCAACCTTGCTTTCCAAAATTCAGAGCTCCAGACACAACGGAGTCCAACGGATTGGTATACAGAGATTTTTGTGACCATTGTGGGGTGGAAATGATGGGAGGAACCTCATTTAGTAACCATTCTTGGCTGGCGCGTGCTGAGTGCGATGGTGCTGAGTCCTGGCCTGCGGCCAAAATTTTTGCGTGCCCAAGGCATGAACTACACCCTCCAAAATATTTTCGCAATAATATTTATTTTAATTCCGCGGTCGATTAATACGAGCGAAGAACGGCCATCCGCTGTTATGGTGACCCACACCATCACCATGGCCAGCGCTTGAGTTCTGGTGGCCGGCCAACCAAGGTGCATATTTTCAGCTGACCTCTTGGCAGGTAAACACGATAATTGTGTTGTTGTTTACAAACTGCCGGACAACGAATGTTTTCTCATCGGAGACAACCAAATTCGGCAGTTCACCACTTTCGGCCAAGTGAGGCAACTCTTAACCTCTTTTGAGTCTATTTTCCTCCCGTTTGCAGTGTAAGTTCTTGCACTTTTTGGAATTTCAATGGCTTTGCGCCGAGCTCATTTTTCAATATTTGCCGAATGCGATATTGCGATATGTTCGGCACACGATCCATTTTTCGGCCACTGCGATGCGGGTTTCGATCAAATCGCTTCTTTCGCTTTTCGAACCATTTCTTCCGTCCAATTCTTTGACTTCGTCGAGCTACGAGACACGAGATTTATTCACATTTAAATGCTGCAGTGCCCTAACGATAGCCACTTGTGGTTGCTTTTCCAGCCAAATATAAAGAAATCGCACTATCCCGCTTGAATTCCATCACGAATAACTTCTGTTCTGGAAAATTCTCAACAAAATGCTTTTGTAGGCTTGTAAACAATATATGGAGCTGTCACTGGAATAATTTGGAACAGCTGTCGGACGAGTGGCTTAGAAATGACAGCAGTCTGAAGTTGATTTACAGTTTTTTTTTTTTTCATCTCAGTATAAGAAGGAGTAGGAGTTTTATTCCGAATCTGTAATATTTTTTATTAGTCTTAGGTCAGATTTGGCCAATTGGCCAACTGCTTCGGAACCTCCCCCCCCATAAAGGGTCTACAGTTAAAATAATTATAACTCAAGGCTCTATCGGCAAAACCGACTGATACTATTTTAAAAGTTCTCAAGTTCTCCCCACCAAAAAAAAAACTTTGTTAACTAGTGTAAAACTTTCGGAACTTATATTACTCTCAAATACCTGAAATGAGCACTCTAACTTTTCTTCTAAATACCAAACCGGATTGACTTTGTTTCGATTATTGTTTTTTTTTTTGTTTTTTGCAATAAGACATTGGTAAAATAATCTGTCCGAACAATAACAACCACAACAACACCAACAAAAAAACCAAGAATAATACAATTTCAAAAATTCCGTCATCGTAGAACATAAAACCAAAGTTTGCTCATGACAGGCGTATCAGTTCTCAACAATGTCTTCTAATCGTCGGTGGTGCATCGCTATCGTATTCCTTGCCATGATGATGGCCATGGTGGCATCTCAGGGTGCCATCTTAAGAGGGAACAAGAAACATCCCAGTAAGTGTGGGGGGGGGGAAATATTTAAAAAAAAAGAAAATTCTGAAATTAATAATTTGTTTCGATTATTTTTGCAGCATTGGACTATCACTGCTATGACGATGACCATGAACTGACCATTAAAGTCAACGAAACCTATTTCTCCGATGGCAGTGAGAAGAAATGCCTCAGTGTCTATTGTCGTGATGATTATGTTATACGTATCAATGGGTAAGTAAGCCAAAGGGGGGGGGGGGTCTAGGAATTTGATATTTGTGGAAATTAGGGGATTTGAAAATGACAAAATCATCAAAATACCGAAAATCGGAAGGTATGGTAATATGGGGGCTATACGAAGACGTGGATCTGCAGAGACAATTTTCAGGCACAGACTGTAATACCCATTACAAACTTCGAATACGAAATTTGAAACAATTCCAGTGAATGATGGCGCTGAAATCATAAAAATACCGAATATCGGGAGGTACCCTTATATTGAGGCTATACGAAGACATTGACCTACATAAACAATTTTCCGTCACAGGCTACAGTACCCATTAAGATCTTCAAACACGAAATTTGAAACAATTCCGGTCAATAATGTCGCTGTAATCATCAAAATACCGAATATCGGGAGGTACCCTTATATGGGGGCTATACGAAGACGTGGACCTGCAAAGACAATTTTTTGTCATAGGCTGTATTATCCATTACGAACTTCAAATACCAAATTTGAAACAATTCCAGTGAATAGTGTCGGTGATATCAGCAAAATACCGAATATAGGGAGGTACCCTTATATGGAGGCTATACGAAAACATGGACCTACATAAACAATTTTCCGTCACAGGCTACAGCACCCATTAAGATCTTCAAACACGAAATTTGAGATAATTCCGATGAACAGCATCGGTGATATCAGCAAAATACCGAATATAGGTAGGTACCCTTATATGGAGGCTATACGAAGACGTGGATCTGCAGAGACAATTTTCTGTCACAGGCTGTAGTACCTATTAGGAACTTCAAGTACAAAATTTGAAACAATTCGGGTAAATAAAGGCGCTAAAATCATCAAAATACCGAATATAGGGGGGTACCCTTATATGGAGGCTATACGAGGACGTGGACCTGCATAGACAATTTTTTGAAACAGGCTGTGGTGCTCCTTAGGAATTTCAAATACCAAATTTGACGCAATTCCGGTGAATAATGTCGCTAAAAACATCAAAATACCGAATATCGGGAGGTACCGTTATATGGGGGCTATACGAAGACGTGGATATGCAGAGACAATTTTCTGACATAGGCTGTAGTACCCATTAGGAACTTTAAATACCAAATTTGAAACAGATCCGGTGAATAATGTCACTTAAATCACCAAAATACTGGAAATAGGAAGGTACTGTTATATGGGGGCTATACAAAGACGTGGACCTCCATAGCCAATTTTTTGCCAGAGGCTCTAGTGCCCATTAGAAATTTCAAATACGAAATTTGAAACAATTCCGGTGAATAGTGGCGCTGAAATCATCAAAATACCGAATATAGTTAGGTACAGTCATATGGGGAGCTATAACTAAACGTCGACCTATATAGCCCATTTTCAAAACCAAAACACCCTGCAGACGAAACACACATTTGAGTAAAATTTTATCAACCTACTTCCATTCGCTTGGAAGCTAGAGTGATTTCTTTAACAGCTAAAGCGTTTCGCGCTTCTTCAAACGTTTTCATTGTGTTTCTGCTGCCTTAACTTCAAGTTGGACGATAAATTGAACGTTTTTGTTTTGCTTCTCTTTTCAGCTGTCAACGTAGCAGTAAAATTTGTGAACCCGACTATACCAAACCCTATCCCGAGTGCTGTGTAACGTCATGTTAAAGTTCGTTAAAAATTTTCTGCTTATTATTGCAAGTGCCGTTGTCGGGGTTTACACACAGGAAATTTTACGAAAAAAAAACGGAAGAGGATGAATGAGAAGGAAAATCAAGTGACTCCATGGCACAATAAAAAGCAGCTGATTTTTCGATAACCTGATATTATCCGTGATTATTGCGCCATAATTCCCTACCCTAATTCGACATCCGGAACTTTCCCTGTGTGTGAATTTCGTAAATGGTCAGCAGTTTTGAAGTGATTTACCAATAAATAATGCATATATAATACACCCTTTACGAAATGCCAGAACTTTTTCCTAAATATACAAAATATTGCATAACCAAGTGGTTAGATGATATTTAGGGTGGAAATACATAAAACGCATATTTGGCTGGCTTAAGTCATTGGCTGGCTTCTTCGGAAATAAACAAAGGAGCCTAGGGCTAAAATCGAACTAAGTCAACCTAAAACTTCTTTCTTCCTCTACGAAGAAGCCAACCGATGACTTAAGCCAGCCAAATATGCGCTTTATGTATTTCCACCATTATTCCATGGAACTATTAATTCATGGTCATGGCGGAATTAAGAGGGTAAAGTCATGCAATCATATATTTACAATTTTTTTCAAATTCATTGTATACTCACAAATCAGAGATGGGAACCTCTTTTCACCTGCAGTGACATTTGACAAGGTAAATTCCAGGTAATTTTCAGAGATGTCTTTGCTTATTTGAAATGACTGAACCTTCGTAAATTTGACCATTTTCATGTTAATCTCATTTCAAGAAATAATTTTCACTTCAAATTCAATACAAATTTCACGGTATAGAATAACAAGTTCCCATCTCTGATCTTTTACACAGAATGCGATGAAAAAAAACTGCCACCAAATTCAGACTGCTGTCATTTTTAAGCCACTCGTCTGACAGCTGTTAGAATTATTCCAGTGACAGCTCCATATATTGTTTACAAGCCTACAAAAGCATTTTGGTGAGAATTTTCCAGAACAGAAGTTATTCGTAATGGAATTCAAGCGGGATAGGGTGATTTCTTTATATTTGGCTGGAAAACCAACTATCGTTAGGGCACTCCAGCATTTAAATGTGAATAAATCTTTTAGGTCTCATACCATCGCTCGCTACTGGTAGCGTAGCCCGACGAAGTCAAGGAAGTGGACGGAAGAAAGCAGCAACATCAGCAGAAATGGTTCGAAAAGCGAAAGAAGCGAATTGATCGAAACCTGCGTCGCTGTGGCCGAAAAATGGCTCGTGAGCTGAACATATCGCAATATCGAATTCGGCAAATATTGAAAAATGAGCTCGGGGTAAAGCCATTGAAATTTCAAAAAGTGCAAGAACTTACACCGCAACGGAAACAGAACAGAAAATGGACTCGCATTCGGCAAATATTGAAAAATGAGCTCGGGCTAAAGCCATTGAAATTTCAAAGAGTGCAAGAACTTACACCGCAACAGAGAGAAAATGGACTCAAAAGAGGTAAAAAGTTGCTTCGCTTGGCGAAAGTGGTGAACTGGCGAATTAGGTTTTCTCCGATGAGAAAACATTCGTTGTCCGGCAGTTTGTAAACAAACCAAATGATCGTGTTTACTTGTCAATAAGGTCAGCTGAAAATGTGCACCATCGGTTGGCCAGCCACCAGAACTAAAGCGACGGTCATGGTCATGGTGTGGTGTGGGTCGTCATAACAGCCGATGGTCGCTTTACGCTCGTATTTATCGACCGTGGCATCAGAATAAATACCGAATATTATTGCGAAAATATGCTGGAGGTTGTAGTAAAGCCTTGGCCACCCAAATATACATATTGGCCGCAGACCTTGGACATTCCAACAGGACTCAGCACCATCATCGCACTCAGCACGCGCCCAAGAATTGTTACAAAATTAAGGTTCCCCGCTTCATTTCCAGCGCACAATGGCCACCAAAATCTCCAGATACCAATCAGATGGATTCCGTTGTGTCTGGAGTATTTTGGAAAGCAAGGTTGGCGCACTAAAAAATACCAAAGTGTCGATCACCTCAAGCAAGCACTACGCCTGAAATGGGCCAAAATACCACAGAGCAACATTCGGGCAGCGTGTGATGGTTTCATTGGCCGTTTCAAGGCCATAATTCGTGCCAAAGGTGACCAATTCGAACAAATCTAAACTTATTCTAAAATTTGATGCTATTTCCGACATTTTTGGCTTTCGTTCAATAAAATTTGAAAAAAAAAAAAAACAAGTAAAAAAAATTGTAAGTTCGGCCGAACATTGAATACCCTCCACCATTTGGTACCAAATTGGCAATTTTCAAAAAAAAAATGAAATCCGTTTAAAATTCTGTTAAAATCTTAAAAATACCGAATGTCGCTGTATGTTAGGGTCTATACGACGACGTGGACCTGCATAGGCAACTTTTGTCATAAGCTATTACAATATTCAAATGCGAAACTTGAAAAAAAAAAAAATCTGTATAGGGTAAGTGTACCAGTAGTCGGCACTTTTAGGATTTTCGCGTTTTTAATCGCTCACCATTCTGAGTGGAACATTTCAATTATTACAAAGTTAATTTATTCAGATTCGAAATTTTGTATAGTTTTTGCAATAATAAATTAAGTTTTATTAACTTTTTATTAAATTTCATAAATTTGTAGTTTTATTAAAACAATGCTTTTTTGCCAGTAGTCGGCACCACTTGCCAAATGTCGGTATGGCATTTTCAACGGTCGCCATACCCATTTTTTTGTAAGAATAATTAATAATAATAATAAATTAATTCATTAAAATATAATATTTTTGTTTAGTAAAACTGATTCGACGTCTTTATTGTACTTTTCTTAAGAATATGAATTGTTGAGGACCTTCACAGACAAAAATTTAATTTTTATAAGAATAATTCATATTTTTTTAGCGAAATTGTGCACAAAGACAGCTGACAATATATTTGAAGTAAACAAAATATACTTAGTTATAATAGTTTCATTTATTTGGGCTTAAAAATAAAAAGTGCCGACTACTGGGACATGCCGAACTTAGGCACACTTACCCTATAATGTAGCTAAAATCATCGAAATACCGAATATAGGAAGGTACCATGGGGGTTATAAAACGTGGACCTGTCCAGACAATTTTCTGTCATAGGCTGTAGTATCCATTGCGAACTTTAAATACAAAATTCGAAATAATTCCAGTAAATAAATTATCAAAATACCGAATATCGGGAGGTATCGTTATATGGGGGCTATACGAAGACGTTGACCTGCACAGACAATTTTCTGTCTTAGGCTGTAGCATCCATTTCGGCCTTCAAATACCAATTTTGAACCAATTCCGGTAAATAATATCGCTAAAATCATCAAAATACCGAATATCGGGAGGTACCGTTATATGGGGGCTATACGAAAACGTGGACCTACATGGCCCATTTTCAATACTAAAAGTCCAGCAGACATAATTTACATTTGAGTGAAATTTTATCAATCTACTTCAATTTGTTCGGAAGCTAGAGTGATTTTCACAGACGGACAGACGGCCGGACATCGCTAAATCGACATAGAATTTTATGCTGATCAGGAATATACATATATACTTTATGGGGTCTAAATTGTATATTTCGAGGTGTTACAAACGGAATGACAAACTTAATATACCCTCCATACTATGGTGGAGGGTATAAAAATGTAAAAATTATGGAGAAAATCGCTTCAGATATGGCTATAGCTCCCATAGATATGTTTCATCCGATTTGGGGTGTTTAAGTCCCTCACATGCGTAATATGCATTCGACAAAAATGATATTTGGTACCAGATATCTTATAGAGCTAGGAAATGCCTTTGCCAAATTTTATCGAGATCGGTTAAGATTTAGATATAGCTCCCATATATACATATATCTTCAACCGATTTCGTCCTAATTGTGCAGCAAATGGCCAATATAAGTCGAAATGATCTGAATTTTGGTACATCCAACCGTATTTAGTCTAGAAGCAAGTAAATCAAATTCGGAAAAAATCGGTTCAGATATAGCTATTGCTCCTATATATATGTTTCATCCGATTTGGGGTTTTAAGTGCCTCACATGCGTAATATGCATTCGACAACAATGATCTTTGGTACCAGATATTTTATAGAGCTCGGTAATACATTTGCCAAATATTATTGAGGTCGGATAAGATTTGGATATAGCTCCCCTATATATATATATATATATATATATATATTTATATATATATATATATATATATATATATATATATATATATATATATATATATATATATATATATATATATATATATATATATATATATATATATATCTTCAACCGATTTCGTCCTAATTGTGCCCCAAATGGCCAATATAAGTCGAAATGATCTGAATTTTGGCACATCCAACCGAATTCAGTCTAGAAGCAAGTAAATCAAATTCGGAGAAAATCGGTTCAGATATAGCTATGACACCCATATATACATACGTTTCATCCGATTTGGGGTATTAAGTCCCTCCCATGCGTAATATGCATTCGACAACAATGATATTTGGTACCAAATATTTTATAGAGCTCGGAAATACCTTTGCCAAATATTATTGAGGTCGGATAAGATTTGGATATAGCTCTATAGACCTATATATATCCTTAATCCGATTTCAGGTATATTGTGCAAATAATAGCTAATATCAAATGGTGTGAATTTCGGGACGTATGTTTCCAATCTATAGCAATGTTATTTGGTATAAAACAAAAAAAATATCTCCGTCAAATTTTGTGAAAATCGATTCAGAATTGGATATGCCTCCAACATATATTAGTTGCCTCTGAAGCCAAACTAGAACTGCTCTAAATCCAAATCTTGATAGGTGGTATGATCTACTTGAAATAAATTCGGGATTGTTACGGGAGCTCTACTAAATATGCATGGTGGTGTAGGTTATTATTTAGTCGGCTCCGCTCGACTTTTCCTTACTGGTTTTTATACCCTCCACCAAAGTATACCTCCCCATATTCGGTATTTTGATGATTTTAGCGACATTATTTACCGGAATTGTTTCAATTTTGGTATTTAAAGTTCGCAATGGATACTACATCCTAAGACCAAAAATGAGCCATGTAGGTCCACGCCTTCGTATAGCCCTCATATAACGTTACCTCCCGATATTGGGTATTTTGATGATTTTAGAGAAGTTATTTACCAGAATTGTTTCAAATTTCGCATTTGAAGTTCGAAATGGATACTACAGCCTATGACAGAAAATTCTATGTGCAGGTCCACGTCTTCGTATAGCCCCCATATAACGGAACCCCCGATTTTCGGTATTTTGATGATTTTAGCGACATTATTTACCGGAATTGTTTCAATTTTGGTATTTAAAGTTCGCAATGGATACTACAGCCTATGACAGAAAATTGTCTGGGCAGGTTCCTTTATAACCCCCATTGTATCTCCCTATATTCGGTATTTTGATGATTTTAGCTACAATATAAACAGGTTTTTTTTCAAGTTTCGCATTTGAATATTGTACTTTTAAGATTTTAACAGAATTTTTAACGGATTTTATTTTTTTTGAAAATTGTTAAATTTGTACCAAATGGTGGAGGGTATTCATAGTTCGGCCCGGCCGAACTTACAGCTTTTTTACTTGTTAATTACTTTTTTTTTTCTAAAATATTTGTTAATTTCCGTATGCGTGTACAACTGAAATAGTTTCTTTAGGAACGTGATTTCAACGATGTTAGAAAAAATATTGAAAACTATATTATTTATTTTATATTCAAAATTAAACTTCGTACGCCTGTTCTCAGAAGTATTTATTTTTAGAATTTTATGGCAAATTAATTTCTTTACTACAAGTCATCAATACAAAAATTATATTTTTTTTTTTATTAATTACATAAAACCGGCTGTTCGGAAATGGGAAATGCATTCGTGATTTGAAGTCGACTCAACGAAAAAACTCAGTTGGCATGACTCAAAAAGTTTTATAACTGTTATGCGATATTGGTTTTGAAATAAAATCGTGTATATATATTCTCAATTCTCCGTGGCAAAAATATACAGTTAATTCTAAGCTCTTGCAAATATTGGCAGATTTTTTAATTGCAAAATGAGGTTTAGTATTTTATTCGGATTATTATTTTCCCATCTCCTTGTGTCGGGAATTGTTGCGGGTAAGAATTGAGGTGAAGGAGTTGGAATTTTTTTCTTTTTTTAAAAAAAGACAACTAATTTTTTAGCCGCCCCCACCAACAACACTTGCACCCTAAATGGTATAACAGTCCAGGTGGGAGAGGAGTTTTTATTGACGGGAGTTTGTCAGAAACTGTTATGCTTTGAAAACAACAACATTGGAGCTGTCGGGTAAGTCCTTAGCATGGTAGAAGAATACAGGTAGATGTATCAACGCTTTGGGAACATTGATAGGTCAAAAGTTTCAAAATTATTTTACAAAAATTCGTAGATTTTTATACCCTCCATCTTAGAAAGGAGGATATATATTAGCTTTGTCATTCCGTTTGGAACATCCTCAAACATTCGTCGTAGACCCCATAAAGTATATATTTTCGCGATCAGCATAAAATTCTAAGTCCATTTAACGATGTCCGTCGGTCTGTCTATCTGTCCGTCTGTCTGTTGAAATCACTATACAGGCCACATTATTTGACGTAGAGCGTCAAAATTTTGCAGAACAACATGTATTGTGTCTAGGATGGTTGGTATTGAAATAGAGATATATCGGTCCACGTTTTGGTATAGTCTCCATATGACGATACCTCCCGATATTCGGTATTTTGATCATTTTTGCCACATTTTTCACAGATCGGTCTGAAAATAGTTATTTGTGGATCCCATTGGCTTCTAGGTCCACGTTTTGGTGTAGTCCCCATATGACGGTACCTCCTAATATTCGCCATTTTGATGGTTTTCGTTACATTTTTTCACGGATTTGTCTGAAATTTAGTATTTGTAGGTGTTCTAGTTCGTGTGGCGAAGCATTATATGTATGGGTCCTCCACGGTACCTCCCGATATTCGATATTTCGATGAGTTTTGCGACATTTTTTCACGGATTTTTCCAAAAATTGGTATTTGTGGGTCATAATGGGTTCTAATGTTTAATCTACCCTAAGGTGGAGGGTATTTAAAATTCGGCCCGGCCGAACTTAATTTTTTTTTTTACTTGTTATATGTTTCCTTATACGACGCCAATCGGAGGTTCCTTTGATATGCATTTTTTAAGAATTTTAATCATTTTGTTCGACAGTTCCTTGTCCCAGCAGCTGTGACGATGCGACTACCTGTATTCTTCTGTCATGGTCCTTACGTTTTATACATTTGATTAAAAAGTATTGATTTTTCTTTTATAATTTTCTAATATTATTCCCTTTACAATCAGCTGTGCCGAGGTTGCCTTTCCCCCACACTTGAATTGTACAAAAACTGTGGATTTGTCAAAGCCCTATCCCGATTGCTGTCCCCAATTTAGCTGCAAAAAATTGCCAGCATATTATTAGATATAATTTCTTTAATTTTTTAAATAGTAAATTTTGAGAAAAATAAAAATGTGTTTTTAATTTCAAATGTCATTTCGGAGCAAGGTCTACTAAATAGGTCGTTCGATTAGCACAGGTGATTGCTCTCTTCCACTCTGTCAAAATGTAAATTGTAAATGACAAGCTGTCATCATGCAATAGGTTTGTCTGGTTTCATTTCCCGGCAGGAATTGTCCAGCAGCCTCTTTCTTAGAATGTAAAGGTGGAAGTACATAAAGAGCTTGTTTGCCTGGCATAAGTCATCAGCTGGCTTCTTCGGAAATGAACAAAAGAGCCTAGGGCCAAAATCGAACTAAATCAACCTAAAACTCTTTTGTTCATCTACGGTCCAAAAACTCGATAATTTGACATGCGAACCGCTTATGAATAACCCCATCACGTGAGCTTTCAAACTACAGGGTGAGATAAAAAAAAAAACTGCAACAAAGTTAAACGCCATAATTTTGACATTTTTTTAAATTTTATTGAATGAAAGCCAAAAATGTCGGAAATAGGATCAAATTATAGAATAAGTTCGAATTGGTCACCTTGGGCATGAATTATAGCCTTAAAACGAATGTTGCTCTGCGATATTTTTGCCCATTCCCGGCGAAGCGCTTGCTTGGGGTGATCGACACTTTGGTATTTTTTAGGGCCAACCTTGCTTTCCAAAATATTCCAGACACAATAGTCCAACGGATTGGTATCCAGAGATTTTGTAACCATTCTTGGGTGGCGCGTGCTAAGTGCAATGGTGCTGTTGGAGTCCTGTTGGAATGTCCAAGGTCTGCGGCCAAAATGTTTGCGTGCCCAAGGCTTTAATACACCCTCCAGAATATTTTCGTGTTGATATTCGGCATTTATTCTGATGCCACGGTCGATTAATACGAGCAGAGAGCGACCATCGGCTGTTATGGCGGCCCACACCATCACCATGGCCGGCGCTTGAGTTCTGGTGGCCAACCGAAGGTGCACATTTTCAGGTGACCTCTTTGGCAAATAAACACGATCATTTTTTTGTTGTTTACAAACTGCTGGACATCGAATGTTTTCTCATCGGAACGGAGAAAACCAAATGCGGCAGGTCACTACTTTCGGCCAAGCGAAGTAACTCTTTTGAGTCTGTTTTCTTTCTGTTTCTGTTGCGGTGTAAGTTCTTGCACTTTTTTGAATTTCAATGACTTTAACCCGAGCTCATTTTTCAATATTTGCCGAATGGAATGCCGATATGTTCAGCTCGCGAGCCATTTTTCGGCCACTGCGACGCGGGTTTCGATAAAGTCGCTTTATTACTTTTCGAACCATTTCTGCTGATGTTACTGTTTTCTTCCGTCCATTTCCTTGACGTCGGGCTACAAGCTACGCTACCAATATCACGGTAACCAGGGATTTATTCACATTTAAACGCTGGAGTGCCCTAACGATAGCCACTTGTTGTTGGTTTTCCAGCCAAACATAAAGAAATCACCCTATCACGCTTGAATTCCATCACGAATAACTTCTGTTCTGGAAAATTCTCACCAAAATGCTTTTGTGCGCTTGTGAACAGTTTAATGAGCTGTCACTGGAATAATTTTAACAACTGTCGGACGAGTGACTTAGAAATGACAGCAGTCTGAAGTTGGTTGCAGTTTTTTCACCTCACCCTGTATACCTATTATTGTCTATATCAGGTAAACGGATCCGGGTCTAACCCGGTTCTTGAACCCAGACTTTCGGGTCAAACATATGGGGTCGCGGGTCCGTCCCTCAAGCAAAAATAAATAGTTTTAAGGAATTAGGGTAAAAGTATCTGCGCCTGGAAAAGATTTCGAAAAAATCGAAGAGTTTTTACTGAACTAGAGTTGTTCCCGAAGTCTACCTAAAACTCGTTTGAAGCCAGCCGTTGACATAAGCCAGTCAAAATAGTCTTTAATGTATTCTCACCTTAAGTCAGCAAACAAGGCGTTTTATATATTCTCACCTTCAGTTTGACAGTTCATTGTCCATTTTTCTACTATGGTGTAAATGTACTTTTAATGAATCACCCAGCTATTGATTATACCATGTTTACACTTAAGCCATTTGCCGAGGTAAAAATTTGGTCTATTCCAAAACTGCAAGAATGTAAACGTTTTTACTACGATAACCGATTTTCGATTTGTGATATCGGAAAAAAATTGCAAAACTAGTAGATATTTGCAGGTTCTGGAACAGAGCCGTTGTCCCCCAATAATAACTGTTAGGGTGGAAATACATAAAGCCCATATTTGGCTGGCTTCTTCGTTGATGAACAAAGGAGTTTTAGGTTGACTTAGATCGATTTTGGCCCTAGGCTCCTTTGTTCATTTTCGAAGAAACCAGCCGATAAGTTAAGTCAGCCAAATAAGCGCTTTATGTATTCCCAGCTTTACCCCTTGTTAATATGAGCATTACTTTTTCGTAAAACATTTCCATTAATTTTTATTAATTTATAAAAATTACAAAAGTATATAATAATTTAGAATATAAATATTAATAAAAATAAAAAATATAAAATATGTTTTTTTTATATTTCACTTAACTACGACATTATTAATTTCTATAAATTCTAAAATTGACACATGATTTCCGTGAAATTAAATTCGAAACACCATTTCGTTACTTTTTGGGACACTTGATTTTTGGACAACAGCTGGGATAGGGTTTCGAATAGTCATAGTCCGATTTTTCAATGCAATAGTTTGGATAACGATCACAGCTGTAATAAAATAAAATAAATTTAATATGAAAATTAAAAAAAAATAATTAAAGGTGAGAGTACATAAAAGTCTTTTCTGACTGGCTTAAGGTGGAAATACATAAAGCGCATATTTGGCTGGCTTAAGTCAGCGGCTGGCTTCTTCGTAGATGAACAAAGGAGTTTTAGGTTGACTTAGTTCGATTTTGGCCCTAGGCTCTTTTGTTAATTTCCGAAGAAAGCAGCCAGATAAGCGCTTTATGTATTCCCACCTTAAGTCATCGGGTGACTTCTTTGTAGATGAACAAAGGAGTTTTAGGTTGACTTAGTTCGATTTTGGCCCCACGCTCCTTTGTTAATTTTCGAAGAAGCCAGCCGATGACTTAAGCCAGCCAGATAAGCCCTTTATGTATTCTCACCTTCACACCATTAACTTACTGTTTTATTTCCAAAACATAATCGGAACGACAATGAATTTTAAAACATTCATATTCAATATCGGTTGGATGTTGAGTCTCTCCCAGGGGTATGGTTAGATTGTATTCCTCATAGAAACAGTGATTCTCCAGAGCTAAAACAAAACGGGAAACAAAACAAGGGGGGAGAGAGAGAGACTTAGAGAGATAGAGAGTAAAAATGAGAATACATAAACGCTTTGTTGACTGACTTAAGTCATCTATCGACTGGCTTCTTAGTAGAGGAACAAAGGAGTTATAGGTTGACTTAGTTCGACTTTGGCCTTCCGATGACTTAAGCCAGTCAGAAAAACGTTTAATGTACTCTCACCTTTAGTGTGGCAATAATTTTGTTTGGCACTGTATAATCTATTTATTTATCCATTTTTTTTGACAATCAGATGTTGTCAAAAGAATAATTTTGAAAAAAAAAAACAAATGTAAACAAATGATAGCATGACTTTACTTCATGGTAGAAGAATATAGGTAGACGCATCGACACAGCTGCTGGGACAATGAACTGTCAAACCAATTTTGGAATTGAAAATATTGAATGAAAAATTATTTAAATTTGCAAAAAAACGTTGAAAAACGCGGATTATAACTGAACCTCCGAATGACGTCTTATAAGGAAACATAAAAAATCTACTTATATTTGAAAAAAAAACATTTACAATTTTTTGACATATCAATGCTCCCAAACGTTGACGCATCTACCTGTATTCTTCTGCCATGCTTTACTTTCTTAATTCTACCATGGTTCCAACTTTAAAGCCACTTATAAAAGGTGGAAAAAATTGAAAATTAAATGAATTTTTTTTTTACTTACTTGGATGTACTGCATTTCCCAAATATTGTGTTGAAAAACACGCCACCACCTTCAATACCACGAGAGCGAAAAATATGCGACCCAAATATTGTGTTTGAAACATTTTTCTCTTTTTTTTAATTTAACAACAAAAAATCGCTTTTTTGTGAAATTTTTTGTTCAACTGCAAAGAAGTAATGAGAAACAGAATTTTGAATAAATTTCTAATCAGTATTCAAAATGCACTGGGACCTATGACCCCATAATGATATCGCAAACGATTTATGTATTTTAAATAGACTATCAAATGAGGATTTAAAAACAAGTAAAAAAACATTAAAGGTGGAATACATAAAGCTTCTTCGTAGATGAACAAAGGATTTTTAGGTTAACTTAGTTCAATTTATGTTTTCCTTCCTTAAGTCATCAGCTGGCTTCTTCGTAGATGAACAAACGAGTTTTAGGTTGACCTAGTTCGATTTTGGGCCTAGACTCCTTTTTTCATTTCCGAAGAAGACAGCCAGGTAAGCGCTTTATATATTCCCTCCTTAAGTCACGGGCTGGCTTCTCCGTAGATGAGCAAAGGAATTTTAGGTTGACTTAGTTCGATTTTGGCCCTAGGCTCCTTTTTTCATTTCCGAAGAAGCCAGCCGATAACTTAAGCCAGCCAGATAAGAGCTTTAAGTATTCTCACCTTAAATTCGGGCGGGCCGAACATTTAATACCCTCCACCATTGGGTAAAGAAAACGTTTTTATATAAAAGTATCTGAATTCCACTGTCCCACTTTAAACTACAAATGCCAGTAAGACCTTTGGGATAATGCTGTTAAACTTTTCAAAAAACCATAAGGTGGGTGAGGACGTTATATGGGGGCCATACCTAAACGGGAACGGCAATTTTATACTCCAAATCTTCTTCAATACCAAAGATTTGAAACAATTTCATGGATAAATGTGACTAATATTATCAAAATACCGAATATCGGTGGATATCGTTATATGTGTGCTATAAATAAATATTCAATGTTCTGCCACCGGAGCTAGAACCCATTGCGAACTACAAATACCAATTTTTAGACAAATCCGTGAGTAGATGTAGCGAACATCATCGAATACCGGGAGGTATCGTTATATGTGCGCTATAGGAAAACGTGGACGTATACATACAATGTTTTGCCACCGGAGCTAGAATCTATTGCGAACTACAAATAACGATTTTTGGACAAATACATGGAAAAATGTGGCGAAAATCATCAAAATACCGAATATCGGGAGGTACGGTTATATGGGAGCTACACCAAAACGTGGACGTATACATAAAATGTTTTGCCACCGAAGCTAGAACCCATTGCGAACTACAAATACCAATTTTTGGACAAATCCGTTTAAAAATGTGGCAAAAATCATCGAAATACCGAATATCGGGAGGCTATATCAAAACGATGGACCGATATATCTCATTTCCAATACCAACCATCCTGAACACAATACAAAGTGTTTTACCAAATTTTGCTATCTTCCAAAGGAATTGAGATAGAGTGCTGAAATTCGGCTCACACGCATTTGGGATATAAACTTTAATAAAGTTCGAAGATGGGCTATAGCGGCCGAATTTTTCGTATAGCCACAACAGTACGCCCTGATTGTAAAAATTTCGTGGATTTTCGACACATTTTTTTCAACGGAATTGTTTTGGGAATTTGGTATTTAAAGGTTGTTACGGGTTCCTAACCCCTTTACACAAAATAAACATTTAAAATAAGTCCACATTGCGATATAGGCCCCATATAACTGTACTAAGAGATTTTAGGATTTTTTTTTGTCACAATTACATATAGAATCTGCTGTAAATTGAAGATATGTGTTCCCAGTATGTAGGAAACATCCTCGCCGAGAACTGTACATACAGGTTGATGTTTTGGTGTAGACCCCATATAACTGTACCTTCCGATATCCGGTATTTTGATGATTTTAGAGATATTATTCACCGGAATTATTTCACATTTGGTATTTTAAGTTCGTAATGGATACTACAGCCTATGACAGAAAATTTACTGTGCAGGTCCACGTCTTCGTATTGCCCCCATATAATGGTACCACCCTATTTTCGGTATTTTGATGATTTAAGCGACATTATTCACCGAAATTGCTTCAAATTTTGAATTTGAAGTTCATAATAGATACTACAGCCTATGACAGAAAATTGTCTGAGTACGTCCAAGTCTTCGTATAGCGTCCATATAACGCCACCTTCCGATATACGGTATTTTGATGATTTTTGCGACATTATTCAACGAAATTGCGTCAAATTTGGTATTTGAAGTTCGTAATGAATACCACAGCCTCAGACAGAAAATTGTCTATGCATGTCCACTTCTTCGTATAGCCCCCATAGAACGGTATCTTCCTTTATTCGGTATTTTGATGATTTTAGCGTCATTCTTTACCGGAATTGCGTCTAATTTGGTATTTGAAGTTCGTAATGGTTACTACAGCCTATCGCAAAAAATTACTTATCCAGTACCTCGTATTCGTATACCCAACATAAAAAAAGCTTTCATTTGAGCGGTACTTTTCGACGGATTTTTTTTTTTTTTTTTTAAATTTTCAAGTTCCTTCCGAATGGTGGAGGTTATAAAAAGTTCGGCCCGGTCGTATCAATTTTTATATTTGTTTTATTTTTTAATTGCAGGCTTTTTTTTAAAGGTGAGAATACATAGAAGGCTTTTCCGATTGGCTTATGTCATCGGCTGGCTTCTTTGCAAAAAGGAAAAAGGAGTTTTAGGTGGACTTAGTTCAATTATGGTCCATAATTTATACTTGTTCACCCTACGCTCCTTTGTTCTTTTACGAAGAAGCCAATTGATGACCTAAGCCAGTCAAAATAAAATCTTCTATGTATTCTCAACTTAAGGTGCAGGTACATAAAGTGTCTTTTTTTACTGGCTTAAAGGTGAGTATACATAAAACGCATGTTTGACTGGCTTAAGTCATCGGCTGGCTTCTTCGGAAAAGCACAAAGGATCATAGGGCCAAAATCGAACTAAATCAACCTAAAACTCCTCTGCTCCTCTCATGGTAGAAGAATACAAGTAGATGCATCGACGCTTGGGAACATTGATATGTCAAAAATTTTTAAATATTCTTTCAAATATAAGTAGAATTTTATACGTTTTCTTACACGACGTCAATCGGAGGTTATTATAATTCGCATTTTTTTAAACAATATTTACAAATTTAAATAATTTTTTATTCAACATTTTCAACTCCAAGATTGGTTTGACAATTCATTGCCCCAGCAGCTGTGTCGATGCGTATACCTATATTCTTCTACCATGGGTCCTCTACAAAGCCGATGACTAAAAGGCGTTTTATTTTTTCTCACTTATTCTCATCGTTAAAGTACAAAGGAGCGTAGGGTCAAAATCGAACTAAGACAACCTAAAACTCCTTGGTTCATTTACGACGACGACACCAGCCGATGACTTGAGCCAGCCAAAGAAGCCTTTGAACATGAACTCTCTCGCCTTTAAATATTTGCCATGCAACTTTCAATTTCCCATTATTCGATATTCAAATAATGATTTATTAGATTCTCGAATACATTTCACCACACCTATAGCCAGTTTTCAATTGACGCCTACGATTTACAAGCGTTTAATTTTCTAAAAACGAATAAACCGCACGTTTTCAAAGCCAAGTCAATACTACCTGGCTGGGCAATACCAAGTCTCTGATATTTTTTTCCACCATAAATTTTATTGTTGTTAGTAGTAGATAATTTGTTTGAAAAGAAATTTTTATTATTTGTTTTTTTTTTTTATTTTTTTTTTGTTTTCGAATATGTTAATTTCTGAAATCATTCCTCTCCAATCAAATCCTGAGTCATTTCTGTATTTTTAAATATAGTATTGTGGCTGGGGTTTTGGTGACCATCATTTCTCGGTCGCATTTTAATTTGTAATCAGCTGCGCTCTAAGCTTTGGCAGATGAAATGGGAGATAAAACCATAAAAAAAAAAACAAAACATCACAGACAATAAACAAAACACACGCACACACACACACACACTCACTCATTAACAAGTTAATAACAATAAATAATACAGAGGTTATAGTGAAACAGCAACAACAAGCAATGCTAGTATTATTATTCAAACAAACAATCAAAAAAAACGCAATAATCCCAAGATTGAAATCAAACAGCTATTTCAGTTTTATTTGTTGTTGTTGCTGCTGTTATTGGCTGTGCCATTCATTCAATCGATGATTTGGAAATAATTTACAAAAACTTTCTGCATAATTTTCATAATTCAATTAGCATAAATAGCAGTAGTTTTTATTTCACACAGAGATAGGGAGAGAGAGAGAGAGTGTGAGCGAGTGAAGCTGAGAAAGAAAGGTGTCAAAAGGCAGTGATGTCAATTGGGCGATTTTTTTACGCTGGCAACTACCCTTATTGGTGAGTAAAAGGAAAACAAAACAAAAACCAGTAAGGAAAATTCATATTTAGCAGAGCTCCCGTAACAATCCCAAATTTATTTGAAGTAGATCATACCACCTATCACCATTTGGCTTTAGAGCAGTTATACTTTGGTTTCAGAGGGAAATAATATATGGGACGCATAAAAAAGCAATAATCCCAAGATTGAAATCAAACAGCTATTTCAGTTTTGTTTGTTGTTGTTGTTGCTGTTATTGCCTGTGCCATTCATTCAATCGATGATTTGGAAATAATTTACAAAAACTTTCTGCATAATTTTCATAATTTAATTAGCATAAATAGCAGTAGTTTTTATTTCACACACAGAGAGAGAGAGGGAGAGGGAGTGAGCAAGTGAAGCTGAGAAGGAAAGATGTCACAAAGCAATGATGTCAATTAAGCGATTTTTTTAAGATGGCATCTACCCTCATTGGTGAGTAAAAGGAAAACAAAACAAAAATAATTCACGTTCATTGGACGCTGGAAAAAAGATTTCTTTACCTGGCGTTTACACAAGCCAAATTGTACTGAATCAGAGTTGTATTTTACTAACACTGGATATATTATCTTCGTCACTGTTCCGCTTTGACAAAACAACAAGTAAAAAAACATTAAGTTCGGCCGGGCCAAACTTTTAATACCCTCCACCTTAGGGTAAAAGAAACATTAGAAGAAATGTGGCAAAAACCATTAAAATGCCGAATATCGGGAGGTACCGTTATATGGGGGCTACACCAAAACGTGGATCTTTAATTACAATGTTTCGCCACACGAACTAGGACCCATTATGACCCACAAATACCAATTTTTAGACAAATCCGTGAATAAATGTGGCAAAAAAAAAACTAAAATACCGAATATAGGGAGGTACCTTTATATGGGGGCTATACCACAACGTGGACCTATACATGCAATGTTTTGCAACACGCTCAGGGACCCGTTATGACCTACAAATACTAATATCCAGACAAATCCATGAAAAAATGTGGCATAAATCATCAAAATACCGAATATTGGGAGGTACCGTTATATGGGGACTATACCAGAACATGGACCGATATATCTCATTTTCAATACCAACCATCCTAGACACAATGCAAATAGCTCTGCTAAATTTTGGCGCTCTACGTCAGATAATGTGGGCTGTATCGTGATTTCAACAGACAGACGGACAGACAGACGCACCGACAGACATAAAATAAAAACAGAACAAAGGAATAAGGGAGAGGAAAATAAACCAGAAGATAAGTATTTTATTGTTTTTGCCGTTGTACAGGAACACCTATGTCCGTTTTTACAATTAATATGTCTTTTGTAAACACTGCAAAATGTAGATATGTCAAGGCAGTAATGCCAATTAAGCGATTTTTTTTGGCGTAAGTTACCCCTAATAGTATCAGTCGGTTTTGCCGACACATGTATACCCCCAGCCTTGAGTTATGATTATTCAAACTGTTGACCCTTTATGTGGGAGGTCCCGAAGCAGTTGGCCAATATTGACCAATTCGTATCTGAACTAAGACTGATAAAAAATATTACAACGTTCCAGATTTGGACTAGATCAACTACTTCCTATATTTTATATGAGATATGTGCAAAATTTTGGAAAATATGGAAATATGCGATAGGTGCCAGATATAGCGGACCGCAGTATTTCATTTGTATACTTCATCTCATTAATATTGGTATGTGCAAAATTTGAAGGAAATCGAACATTTACAGGATGAGATCAAAAACCTGCAACAAAGACAAACGGCATAATTTTTACATTTTTTTTAAATTGTTTTTTGAATGAAAGGAAACAAATGTCGGATATAGAATATGTTTAGATTTTTTCCGAATTGGTCACCTTTGGCAAGAATTATGGCCTTTAAACGACCAATGAAACCATCACACGCTGCCCGAATGTTGCTCTGCGGTATTTTGGCCTACTCCCGGCGAAGCACTGGCTTGAGGTGATCGACACTTTGGTATTTTTTAGTGCGCCAACCTTGCTTTCCAAAACACTCCAGACACAACGGAGTCCAACGGATTGGTATCCGGACGTTTTTGGTGACCATTGTGCGCTGGCAATGAAGCGAGGAACCTAATTTTGTAACCATTCTTGTGGGGTGGGGTGAGCTGAGTGCGATGGTGCTGCGTTCTGTTGGAATGTCCAAGGTCTGCGGCAAAAATGTTTGCGTGCCCAAGGCTTTAATACACCCGCCAGAATATTTTCGCGATAATATGTGGCATTTATTCTGAAGCGGAGAGCGACCATCGCCTGTTATGGTGGCCCACACCATCACCGGCGCTTGAGTTCTGGTGGCCAACCGAAGGTGCACATTTTCAGCTGACCTCTTTGACAAGTAAACACGATTATTTTGTTTGTTTACAAACTGCTGGACAACGAATATTTTCTCATCGGAGATTGGAGAAAACCAAATTCGGCAATTCACCATCTTCGGCCAAGCAACTCTTTAGCTCTTTTGAGTCTATTTTCTTTCTGTTTCTGTTGCGGTGTAAGTTCTTGCTCTTTTTGGAATTTCAATGACTTTACCCCGAGCTCATTTTTCAATATTTACCGAATTGAATATTGCGATATGTTCAGCTCATGAGCCATTTTTCGGCCACTGCGACGCGGGTTGCGATCAAGTCGCTTCTTTACTTTTCGAACCATTTCTGCTGATATTGCTATTTTCTTCCGTCCACTTCCTTGACGTCGGGCTACGAGACACAAAGGATTTATTCACATTTAAATGCTGGAGGGCTCTAACGATAGCCACTTGTGGTTTTCCAGCCAAATATAAAGAAATCACACTATCACGCTTGAATTCCATCACGAATAACATTTTTTCGGGAAAATTCTCGCCAAAATGCTTTTGTACGCTTGTAAACAATATATGAAGCTGTCACTGGAACAATTTTAACAACTGTCAGACGAGTGGCTAAGAAAAGACAACAGTCTGAAGTTGGTTGCAGTACATATGTCAATACAGTGATGCTAATTATGCGATTTTTTTTTCATTTTCCCTTATGGATCGTTGAAGCGAAATATGTTAACAACTTTACGTTTATTGAACTTTAAGAAAAATATTTTTTAAAACTCTTAGCAATCCTCAAAAAAAAAAAACAAATATTTAAAAAAATCAAATTTTCCACTTCACTTTTGGTATTCTTCTTTAATAAAATTTTACTAATCAACAAAAATTAACACTTGATTTGTGGACAGCACTCGGGATAGGGTTTCTTGGGATCTTCACGAATAAAGGTACAGCCAGCAGCTGGTTGGTCAATGGGACAACTGTAATCAAGGAAAAAAAATCATAATAATATTCAAAGAATTTCCACTCCAACACCTTGTCCTTACACCGAAGAAATCAGAACTTGCGACCCAGTACACTTCACCAATTGGCATTTGCCTATTCTTTCGAAATATTCACCAGCCTTAAAAGTGACACCATCAAGGGTACAGGTTTCAGGTTTTGAGGCTGTAATTTTTAAATTGAAAATTATCTCAATTTACCTAATTACACACTTTCATCAATACCAACCGTATACACACGCCACTGTTGCCACAAGAACCAATAAACCAAATTTTTCCATTTCAAAATATTTGCAATGAGTTCTAAGAAGCCCAAGCACTGAATTAGCAAATGCCTGGCTTGGCTAAATACTCGATATGTTTCTTGAAACCGTTTTTTTTTTTTTGTTGCGGAAAATAAATGGCAAATTCGACATAAAATCACGTTCCGAACAAAACTAATAAATTTATAATAATGTTTGTTATTGTTAGTGAATATAATGTCTGAAAATAACACGTCTGAAAGCTATGTTTTCCTTCCCCAAAAACACATACAATGTTCAGATGGAGCTACATTTAATTTTACCGTTAATATTTGTATATTAACCTATATTTTGATTAGATGACACAAGAGAGAAGCATATTTCTCACTCTTTAAAAAAAACACACAAACCATGTACAGATGACACATTTTGTAATTTGATGACACAAGAGAGACCCATATTTCTCACTCTCTGAACAAAAAAAACAAAAACACAAACCATGTTCAGATGGGGAAACATTTATTCTTAAACCTTATATTCTATACTAACACAAAATTTTGATTAGATGACAAAAGGGAGAACCATATTTCTCACTCCCTGAAAAAAACACAAACCATGTTCAGATGGGAAAAAATAATTATTAATCTCAATAACTGTTAATTTGAAATATTAAGCTTATAATTAATTAATTAAAAAAATAATTAATTATAAGCCTAATATTTCAAATTAACAGTTATTGAGATTAAATGACACAAGAGTGATCCATATTTCTTACTCTCTAAAGAAACACACATAATGTTCAGATGAGGAAACAGTTATTCTTAAACCAAATATTCTATATTAACAAATATTTGATGACTCACTCTCTGAAAAGAAAAACACAAACTATGTTCAGATGGGGAAACATTTATTTTAAAACATAAAATTCTATATTTACACATATTTTGATTAGATGACAAAAGATGGGCCCATATATCTCACTCTTTGAAGAAAAACACAAACAATGTTCAGATGAGGAGACATTTATTTTTACATTTTATATTTTCCATATATTTCTTTGATGACAAAAGAGGGGCCATATTTTTCACTCTCTGAAAAAATAACACAAACCATGTTCAGATGGGGAATGTTTTATTCAAATAACCAACCAATCGCGGACTTTTATGAAATATTTTTTCAAATAATTAACATTTTTTAAAAATCAATAGAATGTGGGTTTTTAAAAAATATTTTTCCAATAAAAAATATAAAATGTGAAGATCTAAGGCTGGAAATACATAAAGCGCATATTTGGCTGGCTTAAGTCATCGGCTGGCTTCTTCGTAGATAAACAAAGGAGTTTTAGGTTGAACTAGTTCGATTTTGGCCCTAGGCTCCTTTGTTCATTTCCGAAGAAGCCAGCCGGAAAAGCGCTTTATGTATTCCCACCTTAACTATGGGTCTATCACGATTCCTTCTCCATTGTACAAACAAATGGTGTAGGGTATAAATCAGGGTAGGGTATAACAATCATATCCATTTACCCTGTCAAATTTCACTTTGAAGAATACAGTTTCCTATCTCTGATTTGTGAAAATGTAATGGAAATGTTTTCTAATGAGTTAATTGAAAAAAAATGTAAAGATATGATTGCGTGACTTACCTTCATAAATCTACCATTGAAATGAGATTACCTTAAAATAATTGTACCCTGTATTTTTTCAAAGAAAAAAATATATTTTTTTTCAAAACCCTGAATATTAAATTGAGAGATTAAATATAAAAAAAACTATTTTCAAAAAAAAAATATATTTTTTATTTATTTATTCATATTTTTTTTCCAGAACTGCAAGAAAGTAGTAATTTGTATTACGATAACCGATTCTTTGTTGTTACAAAATAATCAGGCTTAATCCCATTATTGTTGTTGTTTTTTTTTTATAAAAAAAAACAACGTTTGTTTATTTATTAGTGGAGAAAATTGGTAATGTTGACCTTTATGACATCGAAAAAATTGCAAAACTAGTAGATTCCTGCAGGTTCTGGAAAAGGGCAAAATATTGAGATTTTTACAATTTTTCAACATCCGTTAATTTTTATTGGATCACACGGGCGCAGCAATCGGGGAAGGGTTTTTTCACATCCTTGTCAATAAATTTGCCTTTGCCAGTGAAGGTGGGCACGGGAGGACAGCTGAAACGGAAGCATAAATTTGTTAAGGTGAGTATACATAAAACGCTTTTTTGACAGGCTTAAGTCATCGGCTGGCTTCTTCGGAAAAAACAAAGGAGCGTAGGGCCAAAATCGATCTAAGTCAACCTAAAACTGATTTGTTCCTCTACGAAGAAGCCACTTAAGGTGGGAATACATAAAGCGCTTATCTAGCTGGCTTAAGTCATTGGCTGGCTTCTTCGGGAAAGAACAAAGGAGATTAGGGCCAAAATCGATCTAAGTCAACCTAAAACTCTTTCTTTTGTTTCTATACGAAGAAGCCAGCCGATGACTTAAGTCGCTCAAAGAAGCGTTTTATGTTTTTTCACCCTTATTCAAAAAAAAAAATATTTATTCCATGAACTTTACTACCAGACAGAATGAAAGCTTGCTGATAGGCGTTGTTTCCTTCTTGATTTATTTATATTTTTATATCCTTTATTTCCCCAATTTAAATATTTTAAATTCCAATATAAGATTTAGATATTCAAAGTATTTCTTCACAAACATTTTTTTAATTTAGCAAGCATCATCATGAAGCGCCTATTCTGTCTCGGTCGCCCTAAGGTGCAAGGTGCATAAAAAGCTTGAAGCCATGGCAAAGCATATTAATGTCAATTTATAATGGAAAACGGCGTTAGGATTTTAGTGCGGCTTTGTAATCCCTTTATGAAATGTCACAAAATATGGCTAGCCATGACTTCAAGCTACTTATGCACTTAAGGTGGGAACACATAAAGCGCTTATCTGGTTGGCTTAAGTCACCGGCTGACTTCTTCGAAAATGAACAAAGCAGCCTAGGGCCAAAATCGAACTAAGTCAACCTAAAACACCTTTGCTCCCCTACGAAAATGCCAGCCAAATATGCGCTTTATGTATTTCCACCCTTACACATTTCGTGATCGCCAACACTTTCCCCAATTCAAATACTCACTTGGTAATGCTGAAAAGACCCTCATCGGTACATTTGTATATACTGCATTGTCCGGCTGGCTGATGACTTTGACCGGCCTTTATGGTCCTGCCATCAATGGTACATGTCCTTTCGCCTAAAAATTCGAAAGTTTATTACAAGTTCTTCTCAAATAATTGCTAAAGCTTACCCAAGGCCAGTGTAAACACTACCATAAAAATAACAAAAATTGCGAGGAACTTCATTTTTATTGTTGTTTTTGAGAGCGTCTCTGTAAACCAACTAAATGCTGCGGCAGGCTAATGAGCTAAATAAAGTCTAGGCTTATTTAAAAAATTCTTTTCGATGTCTTATCAGTTGAAATATTTATTGCTTCCCAAGAAATTCAAAACATACTTGGAAATGCCAATTCGCTTTAGTATTCGATTGAAATCTATTGGCATAGCTTATCAGCAACAGAAAACTGATTTAAGAGCGACATCACAAGAGTTTCAGAAATTTCTCTCTTTATGACAAAATATAAATTTCTCTTCATCGAAAATCTACTACAATTTACACATTCAAATCTGAAACTCTTTGAATTTAATATGACGTTTAGGCATATACAGAATACATAAAACGTTTTTTTTTTTGACTGGCTTCAGTCATCGGCTGGCTTCTTCGCTGATGAACAAAGGAATTTTTGGTTGACTTAGTCCGATTTTGGCCCTAGGCTCCTTTGTCCATTTCCGAAGAAGCCAGCCATATAAACGCTTTATGTATTCCCACCTTAAGTGTTTTACACGCGTAGTGTCAAATTTTCCATATGTAAAAGTTGCACATACCGTGTAATACATGGACGACATTTCAGTTGTGAAATACATGAATAAAGTCATATCATGGTAGAAGAATACATGTAGATGCATCTACGCCTGGGAAAATTGATATGTCAAAATAATTTTAAATGTTATTCGGAAATAAGTAGATTTGTATATGTTTTCCTATACGACGTCAATCGGAGATTGGTATGACATAAAATTTATTTCTTAAACTTTTTTATTTTATTTAAATGTTTTTACAAATTTGAATAATATTCCCATGGTAGAATTAAGGATGTAAAGTCATGCAATCAAGTGTTTACAATTTTTTCAAAAATTATTCATTTGACAACATCTCATTGTCAAAATTTTTATTTATAAATCCATTGTACATACACAAATCAGAGATGGGAACCTGTTTTTATGTTGTGAAAGGTGACAAGGTAAATTACAGAAAATGCAGGGATGGAAATGCTTTTTTGAATTAACTTTACCTTCTTAATTATACCATGAATATTTCATTGAAAAATTTCAATTACAAAACTGTTTTGGTACATGTGTACCTTTTCGATCACAGCGAGCCCTATTTTCATGTGAAACATATAATTTGATCAAAAGTGTTGTTTGTTTATTGTCTGAAAATATATAAAATTAAATTTGCCGTAAAAATGCATCAACAAATTATTATCATTTATTATAACATACAATATAATCACAATGTAACAAAAGGAAATAAAAATACCATATGTAAGTGTGTGATAGCAAGAATTATGAGTCATATGTAAAATGGCAATTTTGACATACACATGGAAAATTAAAGTGACATATCGTCCCCCATTCTTTGCAAATCTATGACTTCAGTGCTGCCGAAAACGAAAAGACTTAAGGAGAGAATACAAAAAACACTTTTTTGGCTGGCTTAAATCATCGGTGGCTTCTTCATAAAATAACAAAGGAAAGTAGGGTTAACAAGTACAAATTATGGCCCGAAATTGACCTAAGTCAACCTAAAGCTCTTTTCTACTTTTGACGTAGAAGTCAGCCAATGACTTAAGCCATTCAAAAAAAAGTTTTATATATTCTCACCTTAATAGATTGATACTTTTAAGGTGAAAATACATAAAACGCTTCTTTAACTGGCTTGAGTCATCGACTGGTTTCTTTGGATAAGAACAAAGGAGCGTTAGATCAAAATTCAACTAAGTCAACCTAAAACTCATTTTTTCTTCTACAAAGAGGCCAGCCGATGACTTAAGCCAGTCAGAAAAGCTTTTTATGTACTCTCACCTTTCATTTTTTTTTTTGCTCTTCGAATTTATCTTAGAATAGTCACCACATTTACACTAAACTTTAAACCAAGTTTTAGGGCGCCATACAAACCATGGTAGAAAAATACAGGTAGACGCATCAACGCTTGGGAACTTTGATATGTCAAAAAATTTTAAATGTTTTTTTTTTCAAATATAAGTCGATTTTTATATGGTTTCTTATACGACGTCATTCGGAAGTTATTATAATTCGCGTTTTCAATTTTTTTTTTACAAATTTTAATATTTTTTCATTCAACATTTTCAATTCCAAAATTGGTTTGACAGTTCATTGTCCCAGCAGCTGTGTCGATGCGACTTTCTATATTGTTATACCATGATGCAAACATAAACAATAACAGCGTCACACGTGTGTGTGTATATGTAAACAAACATCAGCTGATTGTCACAAAAAATTACCTTTAATTCGAGATAAAGACTCTGTACCTATTCCCCAAATCGAGATCATTAAAATTTCATAATAAAACACAATAAAAGCTTTGTTTTCAAATGTTTTGGCAAAAATTTCATGAAATTTTCAATAAATCATATAATTTATGTCTGCTTATAAACCGTGGTGGTTTATCTTTGGGACACTCAATGCGTAAACAGCAGTCGGGAAAGGGTTTTGTGAAATCGGCACGCATAAAGACACAAGAATTATGGCCGAATGGTATGGGACAACTAAAAAAAAGAAAGAATGCTATATTATTAGCTTCCGAGTGGCTGGGTAAATCTACCTCTTTTTCGCCATTCCACGTTCGGTACACTCCAAAAGTTCACACCTGCTTGCCGGCTGATAAGTTTCTCCTCTCCGTAGAACTTGGTCGTCATAGGCAATGCAAATCTCATCGATGGCTGAGAAAACTGAAAACATGTTATGCTATTATTTTATGACAAGATATTGTTTTTAGACGTCTTTTAATTAGCATCTTTGCCCACCTACCCCCGGTGAAAGTAAGAAACGACGGAAGCAATATAAAAATAAAAACTTTCGTTTTCATTTCGCCAAAAAAAAAAATGTTGTGTCTAATGAATGAGGGATGCTTTCAGATCCAGTTTAGATTGTAAACTGTTTCGTATTTTAAACCAACATTGGCAATTCTATTGGCCAAGAGTTTTGGGGATGCAACAACAATTGGTACGAAACAAATTAATATATTTAGATCTTTGACAAGTTTGAAATAATTTATATTTATGTCCAATATTTTAGCACCTTTAAAAATCCACGCTTAAAGCGTCATTGAGGCTTGCAAAATATTCCAAAAAACGTCTAGTCTAACTCTGCTTCAAAGCGACGAGCCTAAATGACTTGTTTTACGTAGATTCATCATTTATTTGACGTATATTCAAGGGAATTAAGGTGAGAGTACATAAAAGGCTTTTTGACAGGCTTAAGTCATCGGCTGGCTTCCTCGGAAAAGAACAAAGGAGCGTAGGGCCAAAAAAAAATCAACCTAAAACTCCTTTGTTCCTCTACGAAGAAGCCAGCCGATGACTTAAGTCACTCAAAAAAGCGTTTTATGTATTTTCACCTTAATTCATAAAAATAATTCTTATTCCAGGCACTTTACTACCAACACAGAATGAAAGCTTGATGGCAGGCTTTGCTTCCTTCTTGATTTATTTATATCTTGATATCCTTTATTTCCCCAGTTTAAATATTTAAATTTCAACATAGGCTGGAAATACATAAAGAACATATTTGGATGGCTTAAGTCATCGGCTGGCTTCTTCGGAAATGAACAAAGGAGCCTAGGGTCAAAATCGAACTAAGTCAACCTAAACCTCCTTTATGCTAGGAACACAATTGGAGCGAACGACGAATTTCGCCCTACGCGGCGACAAAATAAGCCGCGAAAATTCGTCGTATGGAACACAATACCGACGAAATTATAAAACAGCTGATGAAGTTGTTTACTTTTTGCTCATTTGTTGACTACAATGAATTATACAAGAACACATAATTCTTTACGTTCTCTATTATAATTTCACTTATGTCCATCTTCTCTATTATAAATTCACTGATATCCATCTTCACTCAGGCGCAAGTACACAAATAAATAAACAAATTAATTATGTTTTTTTTATACGAGTAACAGATAGTAGAGTGACCATAACAAATTTTAAAGTAAAAAGTAACTTTATTTACTAAAACACATAAAATTCGTACAAGTATGGCCACCTTGTACTGTTTTGTTCGCCGGTCGCCGGCGTATGAAATAGAAATAAAGCTAATTGAGTTCGCGGCGACCGACGAAATTTTCGCCGGTGCCGTGATTGTGTGCACTTCCATATACACAATTCAATTTCAATTTTCTTTATTTGAGACTTCTTTTTATCAGATATTACAATTTTATATTTAGTAACAAACAATAACATATGTTGATTTTAGTTCTGTAAACGTATTGAACTAGTAAACTCTAACAGTGTTGACATCTTCAATTCGATACGAAATAATAGTTCTTATAAAATACATTTAATGTAATATAGTGACATTATAAAAACAATGTTTGCTCACGACATTTACGGTGTTGTACAGAGCTTGGTCTGATATTAACAATATTAAGAAAAACAACCTAACAGAAAACAGGATAACAATAAATTTCCTGTAACAATAAAAACATGAAATTAACAATTAACAATAATCGTTTTTTTTATAACAATGGAAATCGAAAGTACAATTACAGCATGTACATATACAGGTATAAACAGATAATAATCTTTATAATTGAGATTACGAAATTATAGCGTTCATATAATTGTATTATAAGCGTATATACAAAAAACATTAAAAACATATAATACTGGAGACGTAAGATTTTATCCTCGATGCGAACAAGGCACAGCCTTGATATAGAATTGAGGAGGTGAGGTTAGATTGACGTTATTAAGATCTTCGTGAAGTATTCCTACTGACGATAGGTATGTAGACGAAGTCCATGATGTATTGTGGTTTGCTTCAAAGATTTCGTTCATTAATGGATTTTCGTGATGCTCCAGTCTTTCGACGAATTTTAGGTGTTGTTGCATCGCATAGTGACAGAGAGGTTTGATGGAGGCGTTGGTGTAAATGAATTCGTTCGAGTAACGTTTCGAGGGGCATTGGAAGTTTTTGTTCAAACATTTGCGTAAGACATTTCTCTCGAATATTTCCATGTTGTTGGCCACCACAGGAGAAATGGAGAACCAAATAGGGAAAGCGTAGATGAGCAGAGGTCGAATCGCTACCTTATAAATTAGAAGTTTTGTCTGTGATGGCAGATATTTACTCTTGAGGATACCAGCATACATTCCAGCAACCTTTTTTGCTTTGGTGGTGATAAGCCGACCATGCTGATTAAATCGAAATAGATAACTAAAGGTTACACCTAGATATTTTAATGATGTTTTGAATGGAATTTGGATACCATCAAGCGGAAGAGAGAGGTTTTTACTTTGCGGCACCACCAGTCTATGACATTTGCCACTCGCATTGCGAATGCAAATAGCTTCAGATTTTGTGGGGTTTATTTTAATGCCCCATTTTTTGTAAAAGTTGTTAATGATATTGAGATGTGTGGCAACTGCGTTACGAGCTTCGTCTGGAAATTGGTTGTGCGAATAGATAAGACAATCATCTGCATACAGGATAGCTTGCGAGTTTAAGTGACGGTGTGGGAAATCATATAGATATAAATTGAATAAGAGGGGCGCTAGGACGCTCCCTTGCGGGACTCCGCTTCTTACTTCTCCAAAATCCGAAATGGCATTTTGAATTTGGACACAAAATTTGCGGTCCTGAAAGTAGTTATGTAACAACTTAATGAGGAATGGATCAACATTAAGTTCAATTAGCTTGTAAATAATACCTTTATGCCAGGTCGAATCGAAGGCTTTCTGAATGTCTAATGATACTGCGACTGTTGAATTCTGCAATCTTAGGTTGTAGACAATATCCGAGTGTAGTTTAAGAAGTGCATGTTGCGTCGAATTTCCAGGCCTGAATCCAAACTGGTAGTATGAAAGAGGATTTATAACAAAATCATTTTCGATTTTTGATTTTAACACAGCTTCAAAAAGTTTTCCGATATTAGAGAGCAGTGAAATAGGTCTGAAATCAGCCACATTTTCTGAGGAGTTCTTTTTTTTAATGGGAATTATCTTTGACATCTTCCACGATGGGGGGAAGTGCCCATTATTAAGACAGTTGTTGAAGACAATGACTAAGAGTTTTATGGCCGACTCAGGGATCTTTTTCAGTATGTAGTTCGAGATGTTATCAATGCTGCAGGATTTCTTGTTTTTAGAAGCGGCGATTATGCTTTTAACAGACTCCGAATTTGTGAAGTGGTAAAGGTCTTCATTATCGAGGGATGTGAAATCATCATTAAAGGTATAAATTTGACGAGGAAGGTTTTCCAAACAACGACCAATCCGGGAATCTATGTTTTCCACGGGGCTATCTGGGGCTTGCTCGCTGAAAACTGATCCATAATAATTGTGAAATAGGGTACATTTATCTTCATCAATTGTAGCCGATATGTTATTATATGTAATACAGTGGCTATGTAATGATTGTCTCTTACCGATGACTCTGTTAATCTGCTTGAAAGCCGTTGGACCGGGGGTAATTTGTTGCAGGAACTTCCCAAACCTTTTAGCTTGCTCCAATCTGATTAAGTCATTGATAATTATTTTTAGCAAGGAGATCTGCTTTGAAAGAATATTATATTCCGGAGAAGTTCGATTGCCATTCCGATGATAAATTCTCTTTAATTGTTTCTGCCACCTATGCTTTTGGCTTAGAAATTGTTTAATGTTTTCTGGCAGAGGCCAGTTGCCATTTTTTAGTTCGACTTTGGTGGAATGTCTATCAGCCATGTTTGCTAGGGTTTGAGAAAATTTGTCCACGATATTATCAATTTCGGGGTTGCTCAGATTCCTGTTGATAGGTGGCAAAAGGTCTGATGAGGCTGCATCAAGATCTCTTTTAAACTGTGACCAATTGGTATTCTTAAACGATTGGAATGAATTAGATGGTATTACATTGAATTCAAAGTCAGCTAATCGCAATTGTAACTTTAGTGGGTAGTGATCTGAAAACGAAGCTAAAGATGAAATTTCGTAATTAGGCGGGTTAAAGGAGATAAGATGCCTGCTAATTAGGAAGTGATCAAGGTATGAGCTCCCATTTGGGAATGAGGGATTCACATCACAGATTCTGTGTACGTCACTTACGTTGTCCTGAAGCCAATTCCAAAGAGAAACTCCATTCGGGTTTTGGATACGATCTCCCCAATAAGGGTTTTTGGAGTTTAAATCACCTCCAACAATCATACCATCATAATTATTAGCAAGGCTGAAAATTTTATCAAGACCTGAAATTATGTCCAATCTGGGGAAATTTGAAGGGATGTATAAAGATCCAATCATATACCTTTTCGCAACACCGCCATGTTTAAGAATTATTTCGAGAAAAATTGTGTGAAACCGCACATCCTCCAATGCTACTCGTTTGAAAAAAGTGTTGTCCTTAATTAAGATTGCTACACCCAGAGGGCTATCGTCAGAGATTAGTTTGTATCCTTTAATGTAAATTCGCCGTTTGTTCTTCAGATGAAGCTCTTGTAGGAGGCAAACATCAATTTTATTATAAAATAACATGTTTTGTAATTCAATTTGCCGCATCTTGTCTACGAGCGAGCGCACGTTAAAAGTCATAATATTAAGAGCCTTATAGACCATTTTTAACTTTGTTTAAAATACGAAGAAACTCAGCCTTAGCTTCACTTTTTGGCATATGTCGGTATTCGTTCAAGAATCTCTCGATTTCTTGTTCTAAGGTCAGAACTTCGGGCTCCATAAAATATTTTGACAATTTTAAAAACTCGTCAATCAATGCATTTGATTGGGAAGTTGGTGGTGAAGAAAAACAACCAGAAAAGGACTTACCAGGAACAATCATTGCAGAAATCGACTTCTTAACTTGCTGGGCCGCTACCTCTCTCTGCTCTCTGGATTTTCTCAATAGATTTCTTCTATTTTCCATATATTTTTTATATGAGGAACAACCCCTCCAGCTGGCAGGATGACCGGCTTCACCGCAATTTGAACACACAGGGACATTGGATTCGGCTTCTTTTAATGAGCAAGCACCTGGCTCATGACTGTCGCTGCACTTAACGCATTTAAACGGGTAATTACAATTTTTGGCAATGTGCCCCCAGTGTTGGCAGCGCCTGCACTGAATGACCTTTTCCTTGTTTTTGGG